GGGTGTCGCAAACAGTGGCGCTCATGCATCTAGTAATGACTCTTGTGACTTCAATCTATGTAGGTGCGCTCTTCCGCTTGAATCTGCTGTCAGCATTCTAATCATCATTCTGTTGTTTTATCCAAATGAGCAACCAAAACCGGCGCAAGAAAGTGCATAGTTAATGAATGTAGGAACTGAACTGAATAATTAAGAACGCACCTGTACGATCGGTGGGCAAAGCGGACGCATCACACTCAGTTACCGCGTCAAGCCATCGAGAAGTCGGCTGGGGTTCGAACAATAGACTGGCCAAATCTGGTTTGTGCCCGGTGGCCAATTTGGTCAAGTGGTCTGATAAGCAGCTCAACTCATCCGATGCCTGTAGAAGAGCGGCTATGAAACGACTTCGTTGCTTGCCATCTGTGGATCGCCATGCCTCAGCGGATTGGGAAAGAGCGGATTTAGTGTCCAACAGTTGTGAGAACATTTCTTGTTTCTCCGTATTCAACTAGGATAGCATGTCACAGCAAGTTAATCGAAAATGGACGTGAGTCAATAAGGCCCAGATTGGAAACACAATGATGAATGAGTGTTGCCTAGGATCAAATATAGCGAAACAATTCAATAAAATTTCTGACGCAAAAATGGTGATTCGATTGTATGAATCAGCAAAGCAAAGATCCATCTAGCTGCTGAAGACTTAGCCTGTGTGCAAGTGACCGGAAACGCTTGATCAATGCGTACAGACGTAAATACTATCCAGTCCGATCTACAGCAATTAACGATTCGGGCAAATTGGCCAAAATATGTACTGTATTTTGGACTGGATGCACAGTTGATTGATCAATCATTGCAAGGGTTTTAGTCAGTCAAGTTAAACTCTATTTAAATGAGAAGGAACTAGATTGTCCCTGTGGGGTTAATTTGGACAACATTAACATTTTCCGGTGGACTTCATCTTGCACGGAGCAAATGAAGCGGGAATTGAAACGCTAGGAATCACTGGACGGGTCTTTTGACCCGATTGGGTTTCACCTGCATTGCAAATC